TGCGGTCAGTGATTTGACAAGTTTTGTGTCATCCGAAAAGCAAATCAATCAGTTAGAAATAATTCATGTCTTCCTTCATTTTCACGAGCAGTTTTACTGATTTGGAAAACTAAAATGTCCGTCAAGTTTTTAGTTTATTATATAATCATCAATATATTATAATATTCAGTTTTATCGTCTGTTAACTGCCTTCATATGTGACGAAAGTTGTCCACGTGAAACTGTAGATGCTGTAGTAGATGCTCTCTTAACCATAGCACTGCCGAATTTTTCGGCATTACACGTGTTGCAATTCTTAGTAGCAGCTGCTGAGACTCACTCATATCTCTATTCACGTCTTCGTGCTTGGTCAATATCGAAACTGAATGAAAATACAAATTTAACGAAATTGACCGTAAGTTGTAATTGCATTTTGACTCAGCAGTATTATTTTGAATCTGTTGAAGCTAATTATAATAATTCGGAAATTTTTCTGTTTTATAAACAAGCAGATGATTTTATTTCAGCTCTTTTCTTGTCTAGTGTATGCTCCATTGAGCGACTTGACTGGACTTCCCAAAGATCACTTAGATTTTTGGGGAAGTGATCCATGGGTTCTGTATCTAGTTGCCCGATCAGCTATGCGGAACGGACATTGGAAGTTCGTTGCTCGTCCTATATTGGACGTAATCCATAAAAAGGTTAATACTGTACGTTGAGCAATCTTTATTTGTGCTATTACTTTATCACATAATTATCATGTAGTTCCTTTAGTCTATTTCTCATGTTACGTTGCCCAGTTAAGTCCGTTCCTCTCCGTTTTTAGTGATTTTGTTGTAATGTTTCAGTTGCTGTTTCAGGTGAAATCATTCCAAACCAGAATGTGGCTAACAGCTTTACGGGATATCTGTGGTGCATCACTTTCTGAATTTACGATTTTTGCTTTGGAAAAGTCCATTGAAAATCTCAATAGTGCTCGATTATCACTTTCTGTGCGTTTACAATGTTTTATTTTTGTTATTTGCAAATAACAGATAGCTATTTAATGAAATTAGATCAATCATTTGTATTTCCAATTGTAATTTTTTCGCACTTTTTTTTAATTCGAATGTTTTAGGCCTTATGCTCATCTCGAGAATCCCTACGTTATTTCATGTTCCCATTGCGATTTGTAGACTGCCTGTATAGCATGTATACAGCTCTACGCAGTTTCTTGGTTGTTGTAAATACGAATTTATTACTTAGTGACAAACCAGCTCTTTTTATTATGAAGAAAGTTTCAATTCGTTTGCAAACCTGTGCAATAAGTAAGTCCACTACAATTTTGTTTCTAGTAAGGAGTCTGTGATTACCATTTCTTTCATTACTTTAGGTTTTTATATGAGATTATTTTTTTTTTGGTAAGGACTTATAACCTTCAGGAATGCATAAATGTCGTGATATGTGGTTGGATTTATACAAGCATTGCTTTGATGCCGATACTAATACTACGACTTTTGTAGAGCTGTATGGCGGGATGTGTGCTTTATTCAGTGGTGCTTTGCAGTTATTCGCAAAGCAGCAGCCTTTGTCGTTAGCTTTACGATTTGTTTTTATATATGTTGCATAGTTATTCAGTTTGCAAATGTATTCAACTCTTCCCAAGTCTATTTGTACTTTATTTTCATCGTCCAAAATGTATCCATTGTGTTTACATTGGATCAATCCTATTTAGCCGTCACGGTTTTGATGTCTTGTCATATAACGGTAATTCCCGCAGTTTCGCCTCCCTCATGTCATAAGCAACTTCTTTCTGTTTTTCAAATGCACAAATTTTTTATAGTGCGGTCAAATTCGTTTGTTTTGTTTGCCACCATTGTTTTGGTTCTTTCGGGAAGCGTAGTGACGCGAAAGTGCTTTATGATGTGCTCCCTATTTAAAAAGCTGATTTGCTCGTGGATTATTGTGCTCTTTTGTTCATAGCATAATGGCTTGATTTTATGACTCTGAAATTGGAAATATGTCCGGAATATATTGGCACCAGATGGCTACAAAAGCCCAGTCCTTATATGTTCAGAAAATCCTTTTTTGGCAAATAAGATCATCCGAAACATTTTTTAGTTCACTTTGGTTCTATGGTCGTTTTAAGATTTTTTTCAGCCCTTTATCGATATCTTCTTCCTCGCATTATTCGCTGGCGAATAAGCGTTTACGGGCTTCACTCTTATGGGCCAAAGGAGAAATTGAAAAGCTGGATACTATAGCTCTACAGAAGAGGCTAACAAAAAAAGTACTTTCTCTTTCGGTCAATATAAAGAATAACTCATATCTTTCATTTTTTCTAATTTTCTCAGTCCATTTTGAAAGTTCTTTATGTATTACCGTACATTATGGCCGGACTGATTACTCTAGCCCAACGAAGTTTATTTCAGAAATTGGAATTTCTTGTGAGCACTTTTGGGTACTTATGTGGTCTTCCGATATGTATTCCACGGTTTTTTTTTCAGCAGCTCAAATATACACAGATAAAGGTGTCTGTTTTTTGTATGTTCAGTAATTATTCTTGACAGGAATTTTACGTAAAAGCAGTTTGAAATTCTGCTAGATATTTTGAACAAAATTTGAATTTTTACCGGAGTACTGAAACTTGCTTCATTTAAGTTGAACGTTTTACCCCAACCAGGACCAACGGAGACTGCTATTGGTGTCTCTTCTAACCAAAAAGTACCAATTTCCATTGAAGGCGCAATCGAATCGTCGCACGCATCTTCCGTTGACGTTGTCATTGTAAAAGCAGTAGCAAAGTTCTTGAAAGATGCCAGTGTAAGCCGTTTTTGGGGATTTTAAATTTTAAAATTATTTTGAAATAAAGCACTGCTGTAAAAAGTAAAGCCATTCTGGAAAAAGTGGAACGATTTTTTTAACTTGTTCCTATGGCATGTTCTTTAAATGGTACGCTTTTCCAGAAAGAATGCTCACAACTTCAAACTGTGGTGCCACAGGAAGGAAAATTTTTCAATGCTCAGTTTCTTCTTGCGTTCCCGCAGGTGATTGTCATACTTTGTGCAGAACACGTAAGGTCAATCTGATACAAGGATTAGCTTTTTTTTAACCTTCTGACTACTCTCAGTTATTTTTAAATGATCTGAATGGTTTTCTCGTTATAGACTAAACTATGAAGCATGAGATATCAGGGTATCACGTCCGGTAAAATGAGGAATATTTTCAGAGTTGTACGATGGAATTTTCTGTGAACTTTTTGGATAAAGAAACGAAACGACTGTGGGAAAGTGGTGTTACAGCAGAATTGAAAATTCATGTCACATCTTGAACTGGTTACTTTTCTACATGTTTCTGTAATTGTCGAACCAGAAGAGTTGGGTCTCAGCTTTTCGGATCATACTCTCATATTGTCAAGAATTTCGTTCTTTTGTTTTGTTTTGCACTATTAGAAGAAAATTGATCGACTGTTAATGTGAATTTCGATAAAATTGATACCGAACTGAAAACGTAACAGTTTTCGAAAGTGAATTAGAAAAGTAACTCCTTTTCTAAAATGAACTTGCTCAGCCAACAAGGAGCCAATTAGCACACTGTGTCTCAAAAGCTCCTTTTTTGAATTGATGGATAATATATTTGAAATGGGTTGTGGACGGCTTCAAACTGTAGGAAAAAGAGTAGTTGGTAAAAGGCGATGGTGTTGATTGTAATGATTTTGTAGCGACAGCACAGTTAATCCGAAATTTTATTCTTGTAAAGATGAAAGGGACACAGCGCTAGGTTGAGCCAGTATATGTAATCGGATGTTTTTGAATGAGCATAAGAATTTGTATTAAGACTTTTATATTGTAGACAAATGGGTTTGGCTTACAATAACATACAGCTGCATATCAGATATATTGTATTCCCATAGCTACATACAAAATCTTTACAATATTCCAACAATTATATATAACCAATTTACATATGGAATCAATTCTCAGGCAAGAAGAATTTACATATGAATAATTACCGGATGTATACAACGTATCTATCGCTGGTTCATTATAAGATTGGGACATTTCACACGATTTGAAGGTCAAATAAATGACTCGTCACTCCAGGTATAGAAAAACAATTTTTTATGTGAAGTGATGAATTCCTCTACCTAGGTTGTATACTAAATAAATACATTAACATAGTTTAATTTCCTCGGTTTCTCAACATTTACTACTGTCGTAAACATAAGATTACTTGGCTGAAGGCTAAATAATATTATAATATGGTTTTCCCGACATTTCCGACCAAGAGAAATTATATTTCTGGACGAAGAATTTGTAGGTTGCAACAGAAAGAAGCTTGTTTAATAGATATTTCTTGTTCTTCATTTTTGATAAAAGAGTATGTGTAGTTGCTGAAGGAATAACAGCTCCTTTTGATTCGAAGTTTTAAAACATGAGCACAACAAATAAGTCGAATTAAATCAATTTTGAACTTGATGACAATAAGTGCAATTGATTGTTACAAAGACACTCCAGTAGTAATTAATGCGTAAAAAGTTTCGTTAATTCTTGCATTAGATCTGTTGCCTTACCGAATTTCTCCTCGATTTGCTTTGATATTTCTTCGCCCTGTTGAGTGAATTCATCTAAGAGAGTTTCCATCTTCCGTCTATGGGAGCTGGATTGATCGTTTGGTGGTTTTTAGGCTAACATTTTCAATTCTGTGGTAATTCTTTCGATTTCGGATTTACTTGTTATTCCACTATTGAATTCAATGATATTCGGATTAAGTCCGTCTGATTTACTAGCTCTTTTAGTTATTACATCATTTCGTTGTAATAATAACTTTGCGGTTAAGGTTAAAATGTTCTGTGACGATTACTCTATCAGCAATAGTAAATTATTTCGGTTTTGGCAACTTCCCTTGTGCAATATATCTATCTGTCGCTGTAAACCGTCATAGAGATACTGAAGTTTTATTTTCAGGATCATTTTCATCTGTTTCCATCATTAATAACTTGTCTATTTTCATAGCTAATCCAAAGTTCATGCTCCTGCCATTCCTGGGTTTACTGGAATTTATTCCCATGTCGATGATGATGTCACCATCCATCAGACAGGAACGGATAAATTTGCAGTTCCGTAATATAAACGTTTCATTCTCCTTTTTGAAAACGAATGATGTTTGAAGTTTATCTACAACGACGTGGTTTCCATATATATATGAGCGTCAAATATACCAATCCTTCAATAGAAACAATTTTTCGCCGTTTCCTTTAGGCTCCACAAAATGACGTCGGTATCGACTATACTTTTCCCGCCTTGAGAAGGGAATTGCTCGCCTTCTTTAATAAAAAATTTGTTGTTGATTGAAACTAACGCTCAGTTATATCTGTAAGAGTAGTGTACTTCATTGTTAGTGATCTATTTGTCGGCAGAAATTAGAACTTGAAACAATCCAGTCCATCGGCCTCCGATTATTTAATGTCTTGCGAATTTCCGGTAATAGAGTGATATTACTGATAATGATAATTTAAGAAATGGTTTAGTGCCTACTATTCAGATAATATTGCTGCATTTGGTTGCAGGAATGCTAAAGTTAGCTCGTGAGTAGACACCAATCTAAGTTGTTGTAAAGTTTTGTACCGAAATATCTTAACAATTCCACTTTCCGGCAGATTGAAGGTATTCCAGATTTCCATTGGCAACTTTCCTTTGCCATCGCTTGTAGCAATAACAAGGCGAACATGGAAATTGTTAGAAATAAATTGATTAATTTAGATTTACTTTGTTTCGTTCGACTGGAATCGTTATTTTTCAGCACTTCTAGTTCGTAATGCTATGGGCTCTTCAGGTTCGACATTTCCTGAATGGTTTGACTGGATTTTATTATTTTCTTCACCATTGATAAACACAATTTCTCCCTTACGGGGAGTTTTTTTTTTCGCTGTTTTGGACGAGGTGTGTTTTGCTGAAGTTCGTCCCCTAATACTAATTAAGTACTTAATTCTCCACATTTCGCTTAACAAATCTATCTTTAGTATTTAGCTTGTGGGGAATAAATTCCTCTTGCTCATCATCGCTAGTTGTCGGCATATTCAAAGAGGCGTTAGGTAAAATGAAATCAGTAGGGCAGAACGTATGATGAATAATTGGCATTAGTGATCGGATGTTAAGTATACCCTGAACTTCCACAATTAAAGTTACTAATTCTCTTTCTTCTAGTAATTTTCTGCCAGTAACCCTTCTTATTGAATTTTGTATTGATCCATTCACCCTTTCGTAAATTCCTCCTTGTCATGAGGCTTTTGGCATGATATTTTTCCAAATCATTCCCCCTTTTGCTAAAAAGTTAGATATAATGTTTTGTCTCATAATGGTTTTGAAAACCAACTGAAGTTGACTAGCGTTATCACTTAAAACTAGTTCGGGATATCTGCATCGGCAACGAATCTTCTCAGATATGTAGGAAGGTTTCTACAGACAAATTTTCGGCCAAATCTAGGTACGTCGCTCGCGTCGTAAAATATGTAAATAAAGCTACCCACCTTTTTGTTATCCCGTTGTCACCTGTGATCGAAAGAGGACCGCAATGGTCCAAATCACCTTGCGCAAAGGCTGTAGAACGCTTGACGCGAAATCGACGTGAATGGTAATATTGAATGATCTGGCTTACCATCGTTTGCAAACCATGTATTTGTTTGTAGCTCATTTAACTGCGGATCTTCCTTTAGGTATTCAAAAACTATTTCTCAACTCTGAAAGAGTGTGACTGGTTCCAGCATGGCATAGATCCCTATGCTGTTGTAGTATGAGAAGTTCCGTTGCTGAATTATGTCGTGGAAGGTAAATAGGATGTTTGCTGGTTTCGTGCAATTCTTAATTTTCCAACTGTTGGATCTCCATAATTTCTCACCTTCGATATAGTATAAATTCGATTTATTTATTTCTTCATCAGTTATCCCTTCGGACTGCGCCTTTTTGATTAATAATCATTCTGCCAATTTGTAATCATTAGCCGAGAATTGACCTTTCTCGGTTGAAAATGATTGTAACCATGACAATTTTTCTTTGATAATTAACCTGATGAAATTGAGAATTGAAACCGTTATTCCCAATAATCTTAACCATTTACTGAAGCGACTATTATCTATAAATTGAAAGTTATAACCTTTGCAAGTTTGTGTAGCCTTTGCGGTAGTGACCTCCATGAGGAAGCTAATTCTTGTAATCACAAACGGTACAAGCACCCTCCCTCGGAAAAACGGACCATCTTGAGCGCCAAATCATTTCGAAAGGCGCCTTTCGACAGATCGGTTGGTTGGAGGATATCGGGCGTGATTTAATCATTTCGTTTTGGTTTTCGTTATTAATTTGTTGTATCGATGTCGTAATTGCAAAGTTCATTGTTATATTAATAAATTTATCGTAAATAAAGGTTTAGTTACCCAAGTTTAAGGTACTACCAACTAAAGAGGTAGAAAGTTTTTGTCTTGTCCTCAGTTTTTGTCACGGTTGAACAAAAACGGCGACAAACAGTTTGGACCACTTGTTCTTTTAATATCCATGTAATTTTATTTGCATGTTATTCACTTGGATAGAGTGGATGGAGAAGTGAACTGGCCCAAACCAGTTCAAATGGTATAGTACTTATTCGAAAGCCTCTTACATCCAATCTGCGGACTGTCAGATTTCATGCCGTAATGACCAGAAGCAGTAGAATTCATTAATTTTTTTTTCTTTTGTGGGAATAGATAAAGCGATTAGTGCTAGCAAATTTCAGTAAACTTGTGTGAGATTACTTACGTCTGCTGCTATTCATGTCAAAAGAAGGAACTTTCTTATGATCGAGCTTGTTATCGCTTAAAAATGAGTTGAATATGCGGCTTTACCTGCAGATGAAGTTTGAGTACTCAGTACATGAATAGTGGAGCCATGATATTTCACTAATTAATTCTGTTCGTCCTTCGTCTAACATGGCTGTAACGAAGCAAAGTACCTCACTTGTAATAGTAGGAATACATAAGCAATACATAACCCATTCCATAATTTCAGTGATTCCTTCATTACCAGAACTGCTTAGGCTTTCTTTGTAGTGCATCCAATCAGCAGTAGTGCAATATCAGGTCAAGTGCAATGTTATGTTGGTCTTTCGAGAGAAGCCAAAATTACCTTGTATCCCACTGGTAATTTAATTACTGTCTAAGCCATTGATAACCTAATTTCTCTGCAAGAACCCGGAACATCAAATTATATGTCGTTGAAGTCTGTTCTTATTTTCTGGATTGACTTGTGTCGGAAGAATTCAATCTCAAAATTTATGCTTCTGATTGTTTTGCAATCACAAATTTATCAGTAATCCAATCCATATCGTTATAATTTCACATGGATATATATATTGTGCATTGTCGTACAGTTGGTGTTTTAATGTAGTGATCAGCAAAAATAAATTCTAAACAATGATAATCTATAATGCTGAGAAATCCCTACAGACGGACCACTAATCATATTCCAGGAAAGCGCAACATTCTTCCCAAAGCAATAAAGGTAACATGACATAAGACTATTAGAACAACTTAATACTGAATAATACTGTCCAAGCTCATACGTAAATGCATTTCACTATGAATGCGCGACCCACATCAGTAATGAAGTGTGAATGCGACATTATGATTGTCGATGCGAGCAGTCGTAGTGGATTCAAGAAATGTTCAGAGTGTCACACGTACTGAACAAGTATCGCTCCTTCTCCGACTTAGTTCCTGATCGAATTCCGATACATTGTTTCTTCAATTACCAAGTTTGTTATATATCCCAAATAACTTCAAGCCCCTCCTCCTTGTTATCTCTCTTAAAAGATATGTGGTGCTTTCAGAAATGTTCCAAAATACCCTGCTAAGTTTGCTCATATTCTCCTATCCAACTGAAAACACGCGAGAAGCTAATAAATTCGAGTTTAAACCAGTAGCACCAATGAAGCACCTCCCCACAAATCACCGTCGTAAAACCCATTATATGCTGCTCTCCTCGCTATTCATGATAAATCTCTGATCGGAGTTAAGCATATTACCACCTTTCCACTCACAAGGAATTCCATCGCAGTTACTGCATCTAACATTCTGCCAAATCTTCTCTTTCCGATCGTCTTTTTATATTTGTACAATTTAGAAACATGAGAAATCAGTTCACCAGAGCTTCGTCCACTCGATCTTATCCTATTTTTTCCGTTCGTATGTAAATACGAGTATGAATAAGTTCATTTATTAATCGAAACATTATCTGGAACTAAAATAATCTGTCAAGATGAACAAGTACCGTGAAAAAATGATGTGGATTAGTATGAAGATAAAGGAACTAGCCACAGTCCGGAAAAACCATTAACTTATATCTTTTCGGTTCCGTATTTCGGAATTAAAAAACTGTCGCCTTTGCGATGGAAGCAACATTTAAATAAACAGAGAAAATCAAATGAAAAACAAAACTACGTGATAGTACTGAGCCAAAACTTGATATGAACACCCTAGGCAGGAGAGAATGGGATGCATCGCACCTAAAACGATAAGCCCAACTAATCATCGAGAGCAGTATGACGCATTGCTGAACTTCAGCAATGCATCTATAATTCGAGCTGAAATGGATGAAAGAGAGATCAACAATGATTAATTCTTATCAATAAATCGGTGAAAAGCCGATATCAATTTTAACCTATTGGAAGCAAAGCCCTAGTCTATTAGTCGTAAAATGTTTTGGGGTGAATGCGTTAAAGCGTAGATTACATCATAAGTTCAACTTAGGTAATGGATTCCTTGGCAAAAATTGACATGACTGGTAGTGGAAAATTATAAGCAAATAAACATCCAAGAGAAAAAAAAACCTTCAAGATTCCCTCTCTAGATGAATTAGGAAATAAACTGAAATTGTACATGAATAGAAAGTGAGACAGCATTTATAAAAGTGGTAGAAGTACTAACTTAAAACGGATACGCGCATAGTACTGCTCCATATACGTGACATCTATTCTTCTAAACCTATTATGTATACAATTAAATTAAACGAAATGAATGCTTTGCGGAAAATGCTTCACGAAAAACAATACTGAGGAGATCACAAACAACAAATGAAATTGTTTTGCAGCCAAATGCATCATTGCAATACGTTGGCAATCGTATCATCATCCAAATGAGGGAGCGTATTATCTTCACCACTGTTCCAATCCCAATCCTTACTTATCAAATCCATTTCAACAGGAACACCATTTGCCGCTATATCCAATACATTCACATTACTCCTTCCATCCATGTGATCCATTAATCCACCCATAAAATCACTGAAATATTTTTGGAATATATCTGGAATGACCAGTAGCATAAATTTCAACATGCACACCTTCCTACTAATGTAAACTTTTAAAATTAACTGCAGTACAACATATATTCTTCCAGAATGTTAGCTGTATCTTATTATAGTTTATAACCGCTCAAAATGTTAGAAGAGAATTAAGAACCTCAGTTCTTTAAAGAACAAGAAAGTAAGCAATAAGAACAACGCTTATAAAATACAGCTACAGATTGACCGTAACGACAATATCTGCAACGAATAAAAATAAACATACGTGCTGTTGGGATGGTCTTGGTTTTTTGTTCCACGAAGTCGTTCTTGGTACATATCATGTCGTTCCGTTTTCTTCCAAATGTAGTAGAAATGTACTATTTCACCGACAGTCCTATGAGGTAACTGAAAAGTCAACTTTCAAAAAAACCGACTCAACTTATTGCATCTTGCTGCATGAAATATACTGAGAAATATCGTGCCTCTTTTTACGCCAAAAACAAACAGATTTTTCAGTAAGATGATGATAGTATTTTAGCAAACGGATGCACATAACAATGGAAGAAAATATAAATCATTTCGAAATATATGAACATTTACAAATGGTTAACATAGTACACAAATTCAAACGTCAGGAAAATGAACACGATTGGAAATAACGAAAAAATGCTCAATCAACCAGTAAAATGAAAACTAAATGGTAAGCATAAAGGCATTTACAGAGTTTAACTGAAAATATGAATAACCAATTAAAGAAAAATAAATAAAGAAAACATATCAAGGATGAATGATATCGCAAAATTACTCCGTTTTACCATGACAATGAAGAAATTGAACATTTCAAAGTAACTAGCATTCATATGCCTACGTCTTTCTTAATACGGAGGGTTTTAAAACAATCTTTTATACGAGAAGAAAAGAAATGCACAAAAAATCTTACCAATCGTTTGATAAGGCAAAAATTTTTTCCATACATCTGCATACCTCTTTCGAAAAGTTCGCAGTCCTAAATGCATACATATGTACTAACAAACTTGCAAGACCCATTCTATCTCAAACTTCAGAAGAAGTTGCAAACCTGATCATTCCATTTGGCAGGATTCGGTCCAGTACTCTTTAGAGGGGCATTAGCCCTGGGAAATGGATAACTGGCCAATGCCACGCTCGTATTGTATTTCGCATTCAGTAGAGCTCTGAATAAGTAATAAACCAGTAAATGCAGAGAATGAAAAATGCTGTTATCCCAATACACAAAAACAAACTTCAGAGCGTCTTCATCATCCTTTATAGGAAAACTTCGATTTGAATTTCCAGGTTTACGCGTTTCGATCGGGAAACATGAATCACTGTTTTGCAGTACCCTGTCATAATAATTCTTCAAATACTCTTCGACTTTCTTCATTGATACATCACTATGAGGTGACCATAGAAGCATTTCAAGCTCTCCTCCTGCATAAGATTGGAAATTTGTAATAATCAGCATGGAAATCGCCTGATTCCTTGCAAAAAATAAGAACCAGAAGTATCTTACGTGGACTTTTGGGATCCGTCGAAATTGTATCAGGGACAAAGGCCTGATACATTGGTCCTTGCCTCACAATCCTTCGCCAACGATCAGGCGGCACATAATCAGTATCTTCTTCATTATCATCAACATCCGAGAAATAGCCATACTCTTTTTTCCTTTTTGGAAGGTGTAACTGGCGATATGGCCACATCTGAAGGGAAAAGTGCGCAATTTCAACCCGAAATTTTTACTTCTATAAATTTACAAAACATGATTGATCCACACCAGTGAAATAGCACACACTACATATCTAAAATGAAAAAAAAAAGATGGAAAAAAAACTCTTCAAAACCACTCCATAACCTCAAATCTTGATTTCCAAGGAGAAATTGTAGAATCAAATTTGCAGGTGGCGTTGCAAATGGAAAACCAAATGTAAATCCGAATATGACGAGGAACTTGTAAAAATAATTTGTTAAATCCAACACACACAAATACAGTGATCTTATAGCGTTAAAAATGAACGTACATAATGTGAAGGAAATGAAGGATCACCTGTAGTCGATGAAAAATAAAGGAGTGTCTAACACAATAAAATTATTCGTTAAAAACTTTCACAGATTGAGAAAATGGCTAAATTCCAGGTAGGGAAATATTACCTTGCTCCGCGAAATCAGGATTCGCAGCTACATCATCTATGCCTTCCGACTTACGGGTACCATCTGATGTTGATGTGGACTGCGTATCATCATATTCTTCATCGGCAACAGCGTCACAATATTTCTGTCTCAGTTCTTCGATGGATAAATTAGCATCATCTTCTAGCATTTTAAGCTCATCTTGATAGTTCTCTTCTGGATGCAGCATTTCTTCTTCATCCAGAGTACCTATAAATTCGGAAAACTGAAAAATTACTCATCATTTGATATGCCACATAAGGGGATGCTTTCTCAGACTTCAGATCACCACCAGATGCAGTCAAGTATTATTACCTTCGTCATCATATGCTTCCTCGCCTTCTTCATAGTCGTCTTCAGTTCGAGAATCGCAATGCTCCTCGTCAGTCATCTCCTGCTCACTCAACTGCGGTGGCAATAGTGATAACTGTTGTAATGTTAACACCTGAAATATGGAAGAACCTTCGCAAAACCTTGGAACTTATATTCACCACTATTCTCGGGAATCACTGTAATTTATGCATCCGAATCATATGGCTTAAAAGATTCGAGATAAGCATGCGTGCACGTCAGCACGTCAAAGACAATATAATTAAAGGAGGAAATAGTGAGTGAACCCAGTCGTACCCACTCACCGTAACGATCAGCTGCAACGATCAAACTGAATATTCTTCCCCTCACGCCCAACATAAGTCGATCCGCAGTACACAGGAAAGACTGAACACTCGACCACACGCACACTACTATGCGATAAAAATCGGACGGTGGGAGGTGACGATGCGAAAATTTGTGTCCTAACAGGATGATCTCGTCGTTGATAAATGGCTGAGACGAGAAGAATGAAGACAGGTTTAGGAAGGATGACATCCAGACTAGATATGCATGCTACACTAGCCATCTCTTTTTAATCAAATCGTCTGTCGCCGATACTTGGTCCTTTTGTTAACGAAAATATGAAGTGTTTTTGGGAGATCCTTCTCCCATACAATACATTTACTGAAGCCAATGTCTCAAGATATAACTTGATGGTATAACGTAATAAAGTTACTGGGTTTACTAGCCTTTAAAAAGGCAATAACAATATTTCGGATGTGGCGAACTAGAAGTGACGAAGGACGCAAAAGGGTATCCTTGAGTACGTGC